ATAAGGCACCATGCCAAGCGCTTTACCTGCATTATCTCGTTTCATCCTCACACTGACCCTAGGAGCTCAGTGTTGATAGCATAGTCCCTTGGAAATCAAGAAACAGGCTGGAGGGGCTCAGGAATCTGCCCCAAGTTCAGCTGGCTCTCAGCATCCATGCCTGCTTCTTGCTAGCAGCTTTCTCTGCAGCGGGGACCAGAGAGCTAGGACTTGACTCCCAGACTCCCTTGCCTCCAGGGCTCTAGGTGACAATTAGGTTCTGTCCTTCAGAGACACCTGCGCAGGGGTTGGCAGCTTGGGTTGACGGGCAAGGGCATGGACCCGTGGGTTTTATGCACCTACCATCTTGTGCTCACTCACCGCCTTGATTGGGGTCCAGAGGCAGTTACAGGGTCGGCGTCCCTTCCCAATCCATGGCTGTGAGTTGCAGAGGTGACCTCTGATTCCGGAGGCGGAGAGGTAACTCTCCTGCTGGACAGTTCTCATGCGCCCCGGGGGACCATTCCTGGGAACCTAGCCTGGACCCTGCGCCCCCAGCTTTTCCTGTGTTTTTGTAGAGACCTAATTCCCTTTATTGAACCTCCTGTTGAAAATAACTGCCAGGACTTTCCATTTCCTGTTCTGACGAGGCTGATACAGTCCCAAAGCTAGTGAAGAAGCAAAGCTGGGGCCAACACCAGGGTCTCCTGCCTCCAGACGCCCTCAGCCATCTGTCTTTCTGGTTTCAGAGTCCAGAGCTTGGGGGCAGCAGTGGCCTGAGTGAGGGGCCGATGGCCATGGGTGTTCAGAATCAGGAGGCCCAGCTAGCATCTGCTTGTAGGGTTAGGGAAGGGAGACCGGAAGGGAGGAATTGCTGGAAATCACGAGCAGGAGTCTCAGGTAGGGGAACAAGCCAGCCCCGCTTGGAAGACGCTGGAACAAGGTGTGGACCCAGAGCCAAGAGGAGAGAGATGGACACCAGCAGAGGGGAGGGGAAGAGTGGAGTCTGTTGTGCGGGAAATGGTTGATTCCCTTCATGCTTTCACATGTAAATAACTGAAGACACTCTTCCAAAAAAAAATTTCTTTTAAGGACAGTTTGTTATCACATATAACAAAGACTCCAAAGACAGGGCATCCATATTAGCCCAATACTGTCTTTGAAGGGCCAAGTTGTTTCCTATCCTTCTGCCATAACCTTCTTGGTAGGTCTGCTTAGCCTCAGCGGGGCTGTCCTCATGGTCACAAGATGGCTGCACTATTCCAAATGTCACATCCAGACACACCAACCTCTAAGAAGAGGAGTCATCCCTTCTGGGCTTCTGTTTTTACCAGAAGAACTGTTCCCAGAATCCCCCAGTAGACTTCCTCTCAGACCCTAATGCCCAAAACTGGGTCCCATGGTCATCCCTAATCAGTCTCTGGCTGGGAAAACACATTTCGTTATTGGCTCGTGTTAGGGGCTCTCGACCCTGGCAATATATGAGAAACACTTGGAGTGCTTAAAAAAGAAAAAAATGTATATATTAATGCCTAGTCTCCACCCTGGAACATGAATCAAAAGCTCAGGATCCACGATAATGATGTGTCAATGTAGGTTCATCAATTGTAACAAATGCACCTGTTGATACAGGGGTGGCTATATCAGGGTGGAGGACAGAGGTATGTGGGAAATCTCTGTACTTTCCACTCAATTTGGCTGTGAACCTCAAACTGCTCTAAAAAAAAAATTAAAAAAAAATTCCTTAAAGCTCAAGATCCTAGGCATTACTATTTTTTTTTTAATTTCCTAAAATCATTATAGTACTCTAGCATGCCACCAGAGTTGAGGAACTATTGGTTTAAACTACGTGTTATTTGTCTCTGAGCTGGGGACAAAGTGACCTTTCCTGGAGGTGAACATCTGAATGATATGGAGATTCTGTTAGCAAGGATAGAGGGGATGGACTTCGCAGAGGCAACGGTCACCAAGGTCCTCACTTCAGTCCATACCAGTCAAGGGGACTGCAAAGAAACTCTGGGGAAGCAGGGACAGAGAAGGGGCTGGCCCGAGGGTGATGGGGACCCACCGAAAGGGCAGAGCCAAGGGGACCCCAGAAGCAGAGCTGGAGACGGGCATCCACAGCTGCCATCTGCCCTCCCTTCAGACTCCTGGAGTGCAGCATGGTGGGTTTCCCCATTGCCTGACCTCAGAGATGGCCAGAGACAGAGAGTGTGACAGGTGTCCCCTTGTGCACTCTGTCCAGCGAGGTGTGGATTGCGATGAGCAACCCAGAAACGTCACCTGCTTTCCCTGGGTAACACATGAGTTGTGACGATTCTTGGCCATTTATGTTCGGGACAATGGCAATTGTTTGGAAAGGTTGAATCATGATTGGGCAAATGTTTTTTGGCCCATTCCTTCAACCAAGAAAAACAGTAGAAAGAAAAACAGTAGATTGAATCACGGTGTTGGGACAAGATCAGGTTGTTTTTCTTCCTTCTCCACCCCCTCCATTTGTTTTCTTTTGAGTTCAAATCCAGTTTGGAAATAGGATTAGACCAGAACAGGTCGGGTTGGGGACGTTCGGACCAAAACAGGTTACACTGCAAGGTGTATGTTTGATAAGAATAGTAAAGAGGAAGGGCAGAAGGAGGGTGGGAAGGAGAGGAAGAGGAAGGAGAAAGAGAATTAGGGGTTTCACTTCTCCTCTAAATCTTCCCTCAGGAATAACACAGGTCAAGTCCTTGGAAACCCTGGGCCATCTCTTCTCTGAGCTGGGTGCTTCCAGCTCTCTCAACAGCTCCTCGTGCAAGGGTTTGGAGGAGCCATTCAAAACGTCACCGTGGGTGACATTTCCGTGGTATCAGGAAAGAGCAGATGCTACAGGGACGTGGCACTGTGACTGGCACAGTGACATGAAACCAAGTGACAGGACTTCCTCAACCTCAGTTTCCTAATCTGTGAATGGGCTCATGAGACTAACTCATAGAGCTGCAGGTGGATGGCGGTGAAGGAGAGAAGGAGTGGGGGCGGGGGGGGGGTTGTTGGGGTGGGGACCAGCTAAGGCTTTCTCCTTCCTCCCAGCTCTGGCCTGGAGTAGGGGGGCTCTGCTCTCTCACTTATCAGAGTGATGCCTGTGGGGCCTAAGCTCGGGGAAGACAAGGGACACGAAGTCTTTGATCGGGATGTTGTCTTTAGGGTTAATACGGTTTCAGCTTCTGGACTGTTTCATCCCCACAATACATTCATGCACTTAAATATTTAGTGAGCACCTACTATGCGCTAGTCACTGTTTTAGCCTCTAGGGAGCCTCTAGTGAATACAACAGACAAAGGTAACTGCTCTCATTTTAATGGGGAGATACAGGCTACAAATAGATGAACAGATCAAGTTAAGGACAGATGATAAGAAGCATTTTGGAGACACAAAGCAGGGTGAGTGATAAAGAATGGGGAAGGACTTGGGGGCGCTGAGGTTTGGGCTGAGACAGGGGTGATGAGACACACCTGCCATGAGGCTTTGGGTGATGTATGTGTTGGATGGGGAGTTTGAGATATCAGCTGGGATCAGAGAGTAAGGCGGGGCCCAGATCATACAGCCCCCTTGCAGGGCAACTTAGGGACCTGAGGATTTTAAACAGAAGGTGGTGTTGGGGGAATAGAATTAAAACCTAAATCTCACAACCCAGGAAACCTCTCCGCGAAGATTTCTGATTCAGGAGGCATTAAAGCAGAATGTGATGCATACCCCAGGCAGAGACAGAAGGAATCCCACCACCTTACACAGCCAGGCGGAACATTCCGTCACACACACGTTCTCAAGATGAAGGATAACTAGTCCTTCGATAAGAGGACTTGGCAGCACCATTTGTCACACAGAGTTCATCCTAACCTCACCTGGTACTTGGGGACACTATCTGTGCTAATTGGCTTCCTCCAGGGGCAAACGTCTATATGACAGGAGGTAGGTAATTCTGCAACTTGGGGTCAAGTGCTGGCCAAGTGCGGCTCCGACCTGAGGAGATAGGGAGCGCTGTTTCCCCGGATGGTCTCCTTTCCAAAAGGCGGCTCCCAGGTCCCTGAGAAAGAGCTCCTGACTTATTAAGCTGGCTAGAGGCTTTTTTAGCTTTTAAAAAAAGATTTCCACAGGTTTCAAAGAGACAACATACAATGACAAATTTTCGGAAGTCAGTTTGTATTTACCAGGGGAGAAAAATCTGTTCCTCTGTTTTTGACGGGGGTGGAGGCATTAAGCCTCTTTTTATAATTATTTGCTCTCACAGTGGCATGATCTTTTTTTTTTTCAAAAAAAAATTTTTTTTTATTTGCGAGAGAGAGAGCACGAGAGGGAGGAGGGTCAGAGGGAGAAGCAGACTCCCCGCTGAGCAGGGAGCCCTATGCGGGACTTGATCCAGGGACTCCAGGATCATGACCTGAGCCGAAGGCAGTCGCCCAACCAACCGAGCCACCCAGGTGCCCATGATCTGATTTTTTTTAAAAAAGATTTTATTTATTTATTTGAGAGAGAGAGAGAGAACGCGAGCACACGAGCAGGGGGAGAGGGAGGAGAGGCTCGATCCCGGGACCCCAGGATCACAACCTGAGCTGAAGAAGGATGCTTTTTTCTAGCAATCTCATCTGGGGAGGAGCAAGAATGACCTGGGGAGGAGCAAGAGCAGAAGAAAGAAGACCACTCAGTGGTACCATTTTCCGTGGTACTTAGCCCAGGGGTCAAACCTAATTTGAGAGGAGCACATTGGCCTCCAGTTTCTGAGCCATGTGCCATCAAGACAGCCTCCTTGGCCATTGCCTTCTCTGGATACACTCCAGAAATGGAGCTGACTCCCATGGTCTAGATGCAAGATTAATGTCTCCCGGACACCGATGCCTCCTGCCTCATGCCCCCCGGGGGCCAATGCGGGACCATGGGGAGACTTCCGCTGAGAGTCAGGATGAGAACTGGCAGGGGGGGTGGGTGGGACTGGAGAGAATGGAGGGGGGTTGCAAAGGAAGCGTGCACACACACACACACATTTTTCTGGCTGGTGAGCTTTTATTGGTCTATGTCCAGCAAAGGGGCAGCGGGGACTTGGGGAAGGGAAGCCCAGGGCCCAGATGGGAGTGGGGGCATGCACTGATCCACAGAGGAGCAAGAGGGGGGCTCCAGGAACAATCCTCCTAGGGCTGGGCAGAGAGGCAAGGGTGCAGCACGGGGAAGCCAGGTCCACTTCAGTGACGGGTCATCTGTGAAGAGGACACAAGGGGACAGGAAGGCGCATGTCCTGTTGGGCCCAGAGGCTCCCTGCAGCCTGGTCTCTGGGACAGCCTCCGCCCCCGCCTCTCACCTTGGCCAGGCTCGGCGGGTATCTGGCTTTGAGGGACTCATCATTCAGCAGAGGCCTCACCAGGCAGGAGCGGCGGTGGGAGAAGGTCTCAAAGCTCTTCTTGCCGTGGTAGGAGCCCATGCCACTGTTTCCTGCAGGTGGGGGGGAAGCTGGCTCAGCCCCAGGGACCCCCAGCCCCCGCCCACAGCCCTCATGCACCCCTTCTCTGAGCCTCCCAGGGATGGCCGAGCCCTGGAGGATCCCCCAGGGAGTCCACACTGGGGACAACGGAGAGTGCCCCGAAGAGTTCGCTTTCAGCGATGCCACCAGAGAGCTGTGTGACCTCTGGCCCTTGTCCCCTCTCTCGGGGCCTCCATGAAGCAGGCCTGGTGTACCAGGGGGCCTCTAGGAGCCTCTCGGGTCTCGAGGTCAAACGTGGCTGGTGGATATGCTGACAGGAGCCAGAGGTCCACAGGGGAGGGTTCGTGGGGGTCTGAGTTCCCTCCTGAACTCCCAACCCAGGGCTGGGAGAGGGGGGACATCTGTAGGGGGCAGGTGGGCAATGAGCTCAGCCCCAGACTCACCCACACCCCCATAAGGCAGGGAGTGCACAGAGGTGTGGACCACAACGTCATTGGCTGTCACCCCACCGCTCGATGTCTCTGCAATCATCTTCTTAATCACCTGCCACGGCACCCAGCCCCTGCCTCAGTCTCCTACCCGGGGCACCCCAGGCCCCTCCCCACCCTGTCTGGGCGCATCCCAGAGCCTCAAGGGCCAAGCTGGTGGAGGCAGACCCACACTGCGGTCTGAACCCCAGTTGGGGCCTCCCACTCTCCCCAGGTGTCAAACACTTTGTGGGAAACGACTGGTTTCAGAGCTGAGAAAGGGGCTCAGAAGGTTAAGTGACTTGCCCAAGGTCACACAGCTGGGATCTGAACCCGGGTCCATGGACCCCTAGCTCCTGTTCCCATGATGCCAGGACCCCGGGGGGAGGGCAGCCCAGGCCCACCTTGTCGTTTAGAGAGAACACGTAGAGAGCCAGGGGCTTCTCGCGTTGGCTGATGAACTGGATGGCCTCCTCCAGGCTGCGCACACACACGATGGGCATCACGGGCCCGAAGATCTCCTCCTGCATCACCTGGGACTGGGGGTCCACGTCTATGAGGATGGTGGGGGCTGAGGCAGGACACAAGCAAGATCAGTCGCTGCCGAGGCCCCCGGCCGCCTGGCAGCCCCGGCATCTAGCTTCTTCCTTCCATTCCTGTGTACAGGTGAGGCTGCCGAGGCTCAGGTGGGGCTTGGACGAGGCCTCCACCTGCCCGGCTCCATCCCGGCAGACCATGGGGAGAACTGTGTATAACCGAGATGGGGGGGGGGGAGGACACAGGGTCCACCTTGTGAGGGGGCAGGCACTGTGCCCTGCCCCGCCACCTGAGCCCCTGCTGGAGCTCTTCATTCCCTGCCAAACTGGGTGCAAAGTGGGGTCGCATCTGGTGACCTGCAAGCCCAGGCCCTGGGGGCCCCTCCAGCTCAGCTCTTGTTGGTCTTGTGGTCTTTCGGTCCGTATCCCCTGCTGATGCAGGGGTGGGGGGAAGAGGGAGCTGCCCTCTGGGCCTTGTGAGCAGACGGCTTCTGGGCTGGGGCTAGGCCCCTGCCTGCCGACAGCCCCACAGCCCACCCCAGGCCACTGGGTTGTGCCTGCTCCCCAAGGATCTGTGCTCATTCGCCACCAACCTGCGGGGACCCTGGCAGCCTGGGCGGCGGGGGTGGGGGGGTATAACGGGGGGGCAGCAGTGCTCTTGCCAAGGGCGAGCACACGCACCTACGTATCGGGTGGCCGCGTCCCCAGTGCCTCCGTAGGCGACTTTCTGGCCCTCCATCAGGCCCATCACCCTCTGGAAATGCTGGGAGTTAACGATCCTTCCATAGTCGCGGGACTTCTTGGCATCCTCCCCATAGAACTCCTATAGAGAAGAGGAGGCTGGCTTCAGGTAAAGATGCGGACCTTCATCATGGCCACTGGCTGAGAGGTGACCTTGGATCACAGGGGGGGCACCACCCAGCTGGTGCACAGCGACACCAAGAGCTACCAGACTGCCATGACATCGGGGTCCTCCAAACGTTCATTGCGTACGAACTGCTGCGAGACAGCATCATTTGAAAGAAATGTATGCACGGTTGTGTGGACTTGGCGATAGGACCAAATGTGAGCATTCGCAGAAAGGAAATGGGAGGGAACATACCAACACGTGAGCAGTGATTGTCTTGGGGTGGTGGGGTTCTGGGTGGAGTTTTTTTTTTTCTTTCTTTTATAATCTTTTTCCAAATGATCTACAGTGAGTGTAGATTACTTTTAGGATCAGAAAAAAAGAAAATCCAGTGTTTTCTAAAGTCTAGACCCACTTCACTGCTTTGCAGCCTCTCTCTCACTCAGCCCCGGGGGGCCCACACTCACCTTCAGGGACTTTTTGAGCTTCTCCACAATTTGGTTCTGGATGGAGGGGTCACAGAGGATGTAGTCGGGGGCCGCACAGGTCTGGCCGCTGTTCATGAATTTCCCCCAGGCGATGCGTCTGTGAAAATTCCAGATTAGACTGCATTCCGAAAGGCACGGGAGGCTCCCCCCAGACAAGCATCTTATTCCGGGATCGAGGCACAAGGGGCTGGGCTCTGGAGGAAAGCTCTCAGGGGGCAGAAGCCAGAGGCTGCCTAGACTCAGAGCAAGACTTCGGTCTGCGTGAGCTGGAAGGTTCCAGCACAGACATACGCCGCACGCCTCACCTGCAGGCAATGTCCAGATCGCAGTCCTTGTCCACATAGCAGGGGTTCTTTCCCACCAGCCCCAGTGTGACGGGGGTCAAGTGCTTGGCTGCGGCCATCATGATGATCTTCCCCACGGCGGTGTTCCCGGTGTACAGGATGTGGTCAAACCTCTCCTTGAGCACCTCTGTGGTCTCGGGAACACCCCCATCGATCACCGGGTACAGGTCCTTCCATGCAAGGAGAGAGACGAGGCTCAGGAAAGACCACAACCCCTCCTCCCCCTGGCGAGCCAGCCACCATCAAATAGAACACCGCCCCCCACTCCCCAACACCGGGGCTCCTTTCATCTCTGTGGGAGAGGCCGGCTGTCCTTGCCCCAACCCAAGGCTTAGCCTCTTGCTGCAAAAATGCACTGTTTCTCAACCCCCAAAGACCCGGCGAGCACCTCACCCTGTCCAGGTACTGAGGGATCATGGTGGCCAGCAGGTTGGCCATGTTCTCACTCAGCTCCGAGGGCTTGATGACCACTGCGTTCCCTGCAGAGATCAGGGAGTCAGAGTCCTGCCCTCCCAGTGACCAAGCCTGGAGCCCCATCCATTCTGTGTCCATCAGACCGCGTGAAAGGCAGATCCATCAGACCACGACCTGAGCCCGGGGCTCCATCTTCCCCCAGGCCTGAGCTCCCCGCCATCTCTGGCCAACCTCAGGAGGGGTGGGACCGTGATCCCTGGTGACTCCCTCCTGAAACGGGGCCCACGTACCTGCAGCAATGGCGCCCACCACGGGTTGGATGGTGATGGTGAAGGGGTAGCTCCAGGTGCCAATGATGAGAACCACGCCCAGGGGCTCTGAGTGGATGTAACACTCGTCCTGCTGGGTCTGGGAAGTCTTCTCCACGGGCTCATCCACAGCCCACTCGGGGAGCTTCTTGATCATGTACTCGATCTCTTCCAGGACATACACCACCTCCTCGTAGTAGGCATTCCATTCATTCTGCCGTGGAGACAGGACTCCGTGTGAGTTCACTGGTTGGAGATCGAGGGAGTCACCGGGGCTTGGCTGTGCTCCTGGCTCACTGTTCCCTAGATTTGGGACCCTGACTGAGCTGCTTACCCTCTCCTAACCTCAGCCTCCTAATCTGAAAAATGGGAGTGTGATCTGGACCTCACAGGACTGCTGGGTCGGCATGTTGGACACAGCCCGGTTATGTTCAGCTGCCAGAGTGATGGTGGGTGTTCACTGGGGGCTCCCCAGGCCAGGGACCTGGGCCAGAGAAGGCACAGGGGGTGCGAGCAAAGCTAAGTATTTGCCACTGGGTTGGTGGGCCCGCGAGGGTCCCTTTCTGACAGCGTTGGGGGCCCAGGCAGGTTTGGACATGTCAAGTTCATGGTGCCTGCGAGGACCTCAGACCTGGGCAGTGATTTGAAGGTCATTAAAGGGTGGAGAGAACCGAGCAGAGGTGTGTCCAGGAATGCTTATAGATTGAAATGAGACTTGAACTCAGGATGGAGCCCTAAGAAGGTCACCTTGAAGAAACAGGTGCAGGAAAAAAGACTGCCAAAGGGAGGACAAAACCCAGAAGAACCTCAGCAGGGGAAGGAGGGAATGAGCGGAGGGTTCAAGGATCCTGCTGGAGTGGGTGGGGAGGAAGCCATTGTGCAGGGGTGAGGAGAAAGGAGGAGCAGACAGCAAAATACACAACTCTTCCATGCACTTCGGCTGTGAAAGAGCAAAACAGAATTTGTGAAGTTTCTGTATTAAGGTGAGGAACCAGAGATTTAAAAATGCAGCAGCAAAGGGTCCAGCACAGGAGGGGGATGAGCTCCAGCTAACCCCCTGCTCTTCTCCAAGGCAAAATCAAACTGTGGGAGCAGGGCCAGGCAACTTGGGGGCAGCAAGGTGAAGGGTTTGAGAATTGGGAGGTGTCTGATTTTGCTCAGGGTGAGGGATGGGTGGGGAGGGAGGGAGGATACCCTGTAGAGCGGGGTGCCCTTTGGGACCCCAGGCTGGGATGTTCTCTGGTGGGGGTGGGGGGGGACCAGGTGGCCGTGCATGGGGCTGAGGGCTGGGGGAATGAGAGACAAGAAGTTCAGGGTGTCCTGTGCGCAGGACATGGCTAAACAGGGTGGCCTCGTGCTCTGGGCTGGATGCGAAAGGAAGTGAAGCCAGGAGGGAATGGCAGGCAGATGGGGGGAAGGAGCTGCCGGCCCCTGCGCTGGGCTGCGAGGAAACCCGGAGCTCAGAATGGGTTGGAAGGAGTGGCCTGAGTGCCCCATCTCAGCGTCTGATGGTTTGAGCTGCACTTTTCCTCCTCTATAAAAGGGTCCCACCTCAGGCAGCCTGCTTTGAGGACAAGGTGCGGTTCTAGGCAAAGAGCTGGGCACAGAGCGCCAGGCGCGCAGCAGATGTCCCAGACGCGAGCAGCGACCCTTCCTGTTGCTGTTCCAGCCTCCGGGGTGGGTGGGGGGAAGCGGGGCGCACCTTGTGGAGGTCGGCGGTCAGCGCTCCCACGATGTCCTTCTCATGATCCTTGATCATGCGCCGCAGCGCCTCCAGCTGCTGGATCCGGAACTGCAGCGGGCGGGTCTTGCCCGAGTTGAACGCGGCTCTTGCCCGCTGCACGACCTCACTGAATTTGCTCATGGTGCCTGGGGGTAGGGGGTGAGGGGGTGGAGAACACCTTGGACCCGGGGGCTGCAGGGCTAGCACCCTCACTGCTCCAACACCGCGTTAATTTTGTAGGAAGAGGACGATCTCCCCGGGAGCGCTGGGAAAATGGCATGCTTTTGCCTTCTCAGCTCCCTAACCCAGATGGCTGGTACCCTCTGGCCCTCTCAACAGCCCCTGAGCTGATGACAAACTCATCTGCAGGGAGGGCCAGGAAGCAATGACACGCGACCCTAATTGCTCACGGTGAGTTCCCGGCAGTGTGCTGGGGCAGGTCCTTCCTGGCATCTCTCAAGCCCCACTCCCACCTCTGCCCGCTTGCAAACTGGAAGACCCTGGCAGGCAAACACTCCAAGAGCTCTGCGCCCCCAGCCAGGTCCCTTTCCGGATTAGATTGGCCGGCTCAGGTTGTGACTCCACAGCCAGCTGATTAAAGAAAACCCAGCATCAGCCTACCTGCGCCACCTTTCTGGCTCCGCGACCGTTTGCAAAAACACGGGTTGCTTTGCAGTGGAACCAGGCTTGGTCTTTAAGCCAGATTGTGCCTTAACACCTGTGGGACACAGAGCGCGTGCCAGCAGAAATCTCTCAGAGCTTCAGAGTTCCGCACAGAAGTGCGGAGGGGATTCCTGCTAGCGGTGCAAGCCAGTTACCATACTGGCAAACTGGGATGGCTCTCCTGGGGGCCATCTGGCAACCTCCAGCAGAAGCCTTTACAATGTATTTCTCTATGATACCGCAGGTCCACATTCAGGAGCTTACAGACATCTCAGCGTTCCTAAACATTCATGAATAAGCAAGGTCATGAAGGTTGCATATAACACAGAAATACTGGAAACATCCTAAACGGCCATCAGCAATGGAAATGAGGTACACAGCACTTATGTAATGGATGATTGTGCAGGATTTCGGAGGGAGGTGCAGCTCTCTTGCTCTCGGTGCCGGTTGTGTCCCAGGCACGAGGCATAAGCACGAGACATAAGAAAGAAAACAGGTTACAGAACAGCAGGAACACTAGGCATGTGCCTAGAGGTGTGTGTGCGCGTGCGCGTGTGTACGTGAGCTCTTGCACACGGAAGATAAGACCAGAAGGCTAGCCCCCAACATGGTGACGACAGGTAGGGGTGGGATTAGTAATGATCTTTGCGTTCATCTTCTGTGGTGTTTGACTTCTTTTGCAACGAGCTTGCATTTTTAAAAATGTTTTGTACCTTTTTGAATAGGTAACACGTGCTCATGGTAGAAAAGGTAAAAAGATACGAAAGGGGCACAGAGAAAAACCTCCCTTCCCCCTTTTCCCTTGGCAATTCCTTACCGTCCCTCCCAGAGATATCCAACCACTTTCAGACACTGCATAACTTCTAGTATCAGAAAAAAAAAGAAAACCCACAATAAGGCTATTTCCATTTTGCAAAAAAAATTATATATACCATATACAGTATACAGATACACATGTATGTATGTAAATATATGTATATATGGTATACATAATTTTTTTTTGCAAACTGGAAATAGCTGTGTGTGTGTGTGTGTGTGTGTGTAATCCTGCTCAAATTCCAGCAAGCGGTTTCTCATAGCTTCCACTGGGTCCCCTGTCCACGGTGCTGACCCCCACCGCAGGCGTTTTGCACAGAGAGGAGGGGCCCTGCGGGCATCCAGGGCACCCCAGCTGACCACGACCCCAGCCACACAGCTCTACAGGAGGGTCCTGCTTCCCTCCTCAGACTTGGGGGATCAAACCAAGGCAGCAGGCTCTGTCTGGCCACTGGCCACCAAGGCTGGGCGGCCCAGGGTGGAAGAGCCCGGTGTGACCCCAGGTCCAGCACTCAGAACTTTGGGGTATCTGGGAAGGAGCCCCCTCTGTGGATGGCATCAATAATGGCATCGTCTCTTATTACAGAGATTATTACAGAGATTAATGGAGCTGGAGAGCATCTAACATTGCACTTGGCACCCCAAGGAGAGCTGATGGAATTCCTTTCCCCGGACCAGTCCACCTTCCCACAGCTCTGCATCCCACCCACCTCACCTGTGCCGACTCTGCCCCCAGGTGTCCCTGTGGATGACTCCCCCTCAATCACCCCCTTTGATCCTCACAAAAACTCCATGGCTGCGCCCATGAAGAAGGAACTGTTAGGAGTCCGTTTTACAGGTGAGCAAAGGGAGGCTGAAAGACGCTGGATAGTCCCACCTAGGGGGGAAAAAAAAATAAAAGAACGGGGTTGGGGGACGGGGTGGGAGGGGGAGTGGAGAGAATACCTTTGACACAGCCTTTCCCAGTGGCTTGAGCTTCTGGAATGAGCAGCCCAGAGGGGACACATTTAAGGACCCTTCTTCCCGCCCACTTGGCCTGGGAGTCCCTGCCCAGGAAGTTTGGGTAACAAGAACAAAAAACAGCGTGCGAATATGGGTTCTAGCTAACGACCTCTACTTCCTCTGACCCCAGCTTTGGGGATTAGGCCTTGGGTGGTTTATTTTTTTTTCTCTTCTGAAATGCAAGAATGAGTCTGTGAAGGCTTGGGCGGGGCTCCCATCCAATCTTCAGAAGGAGCCTCTGTGTTTGCCCTGGGCAAGGGGGTTCTGATTGATTCAGCCTGGCACGTAACTCTCCCAGATTTCCGAAGTTCCACTGCCAGAGGCTGTTCTCCCAATTTCCCTGTTATGTAAGGTCAGCAGGGGGTGAGGCACGAGGCATGGTGAGCACACACGCAGCTCCTCCAAAAGCGCGTCCCCCTCGCCTCTCGGCCATGTGCACAGGTGTCCCACGGAGGGAGTGATCTCCCACCCGGGGCACGACAGGCTGGGGGCTTTCTCTGCGCAGATCTGCCCTCCTGTTGAAGGGCAGAGACGAGGCCAAGAACCAGGAATGACTGCCTGGAATCTCCCTCTGTGTGGTCACCCAGGAAACCAGTGATGCTGGGGAAGGAAGGCAGGCATCTGGAAGCCCCTTCCTCTGCTCTTTACCAGATGTTTGCTGGGCATCTCCTCTGGGCCACCCACCGGGGAAGGAGGCAGATGTCGCTTCCCTTCACTTCTCACACCTGTCCTGTTGCTGCAGACTCTTGGCCTCCTCCCTACCAGACTTGCTCTGCCCTTTCCCACCAGCAGGCTCTTCTCCAGGCAGCATCTGGGGGCCCTTGCTTCCCATTTCACTGAGAGGAAAGCATAAGGCCTCCAATAGGAGGCTAGACGTGTTCTAGCCCTTCTCGTCCCTCCCTAGGAGGCCCTGCCCCAGATACCCGCTTTCGGTCTTCTTCCTCCATTTTATTTCTCTCCAGGGCATTCGTTGCCCCCAGACATGCTCTCTGCCTACTTATTTCCTTTGCTCCCTGTTGCCCTCCAGCTAGAATTTGGTTTGCTCACTGCCATAATCCTCACACAGTGTCTGGCACATAGTAGCTGTTCAATAAATATTTGCCGAACGATGGAATGAACAGAACATTCCAAAACAATACGAAACTGTAGCAACTGGAACATGTACAGACGTTACGGGGACAAGGATGAGGGGGCCACGGGAGGGGGGCGGCGTCTGTGCTGAGTGAGGGGTATTCACACGAGGAACAGCGAGAGGGCTTGGAACAGCAAAAGCAAAGGCACAGAGACTGAACAAGGTCATGCATCGGCTGCAGTTAATCATAAGCTGTGATGGGCACGCTGTTGCCAGCAGGAGGCGAGGGGGTGGATGAGGCTCCAGGGGCGAGGGGCTCATGGAGGCCCCGGGGGCCGGGCAGCCTGTGGGTTTAGGTGGGCATGAAGGAGCTTATCATAGCCTATCAAAATCAGACCTTGTTTCTCGAGGATGCTTCTGAATAGGGCACGGTCTTGGTGAGGTCTGGACTGGAAGCTGCAGCTTGCAGGAATGCAGGTAAAGAATGACAGGACCCCAACCCAGACTGGCAGAATGGGAAACCTTCCCGAATAGCTGGAGGAAACCGGGGCAGGATCTGGTGCCTGGGGGACGGGGGCAGGGGGGCGGTGAGCTGGGTAGTGGGTGGAAGGTAGGGGCATGCTCTGAGATGGAAAGTGACCAAGTGGGTGCACCAGGCCTCTTATGTCAACTGGAACCCTCCCCCTTGCTTTCCTGGTGGTGGCACCTGGTGATCTTTGCAGATGACCCCTTGCCAGTGAGATAGTCAACTGGGGTGTTCTGTTGTAGCTTAGCTAGGGGGAACGCGGGTCCCCCACACTCTCCTGGGAACTGGATATTGAGTGGAGGGCAGACTGCAAGGCCCAAGGTCACTGGAGCGGATTCAGCATGACCACAGCTCCCTGGAGACTCAGCCCTCCCCGTCCACTCCCCAGTTCCCTGACCGCCCCAGTCCCCACCCCTCCGAGGTCTGATTGTCAGCTCCACTGTTTAATGCATTCACTGGAAATGTTCAGCCGAACACTACCGACTGTATGTCCTTAGACACGCTATTTAGTCTCTCTGGGCCTCAGTTTCCCTCATCTGAAAAATGAGATGGAAAGAAACAGAGAGATGAGCCCCCCGGGGCCCCCCGCTTTCTGGTCCTTGGGTCCGCCCGCCTTCCGTGAGACTCCTCTGCAGCCTTCGTGGCTTTAAGCTGCCTTCATCCCTCTCATTTCCTCCTTCATCTTTTAGCATGAAGTTGACCTCCCCGAGGAGAACCATGGAAGCGACTGGAAAAACCAAGCACGGGCAACGATGCCGAACGGTGCCCGGCACACACAGAAAGTTTTGTGGAAACGCTGAGTGCTCTTGCTCTCGTTAGAAGAAGCAGCCTTCGTCCCGGTCACGGAGCAAGGAGCCTTGAACCTTGTTTAAATTCATGGCAAACCAAAGCTTTAGCTTCTTGTTGGCGGAGAGTTGCGGTTCTACCATATGCTTGACTTGTCGCAGATGGTTTTGCGCATGCATGGTTTTTAGGTTTTCATCCTCGCCCCGCTACTCCATCCCAACGCCCAGATGGTCTCGTGCTCTCTCCGAAGCCACCGCCAATGCCACCTGCCTGCTGTCCTGAGTCCCTGCCCACCTCTCTACGGTACCTTCTCCAAACACCGACAGGGCAATGAAGACCTGAACATCTCTCTGCCCGCTGACATCCTTCAGTGGCTCTCTACTTCTCTGAGGAAAAAAACCTTCCGTGGCCTTTGAGAACTGCACGGTCTGACTCCTGGGCTGCCTTGCCAGCCTCATTTCGTGCCACTTTCCAACATTTTCACTGGATTCCAGTCCACTGGCAGTCCTAGAATGAGCCAGGCGGTTGCCCACCTCAGGGCCTTTGCACATGCTCAGTCTCGCTCCCTGGAACGCTTCCTCTTCCACTGTGCACCAGGGTAACCCTCACTCCTGTTTAGACCTCAGCTTCTCTGACCCACTCTCACCCCCAACTAATAGCTTCCTTACTCCCAGGAATCTGCCACAACTTGCGGTCATATATGTGTATCTGTGATTCTTCGTGGATTATTTTTCTTCGCTCCTTGTCCTCTCCCCTCCCGCCACCCCCTCCGCCCAGACTCACATTTCCATGAAAGCTGAGATCTCAGCTTTTGTTCCATACTGTATCCCCAGCATGTGGCATATAGGAAGGCCTCAGAGAATAATGGAAACAGGCCCATGTACCAAACCATCCCAAATCAGCAGATGGGGCTGGGCAGGGTCCAAGCAAAGATCGAGAGAAATTAGCAATCATTTAGCAAGATGATTTTCAGCAAATTCACCTAAACCTAGCAAAACAGTTTTGAATGAATAAAAAAAATGGGCTTAAAAGTCACTTTGCTTAGTGGAAGGTGCATAAAAAAAAAAGTTACTTTGCTTAAATTTCAAGGAACATGTAGGTTAGAGTAGCTGCTGGAGGGGAAAACCCACTTTCTTTTTAAAAGCAGATGGGAAATAATTCGGTGGGGAGTACATGGGGTTGTTATGTCTCTCCTTTCTGTTAGAGAGGGAAGGGGGAGAGACGTGGACGCTCGGGGCCTGTGG